TGTACCAACTGGCACAAAATGCTTATCAGCCTCACGGAGACATGATTCCTGTGGACAGCCAGGAATACTATCAACTCTCCTGTGAGGAAAGCCAATTGGAGAATGGCAGAGTATGTGTTGAATTAAGCATTATATAATTTTGTTATACACACTATTGGATGATGTATGTTTTTTCATTTTTAAAGTACTACTCATACAAGTCCTGTACAAGCGTACAATATGTAGTTTTTTCAACCTATCAAGCAAATGAACAAGAGTTTGGATGAAGTGAATTAACAGGTAATGTGTACATGATAGTTATACGTTCATGGGTGTTTTTATGTTTCTAGATGGATCTCCATCTACCTTATTTGGTCCAACAGCAACCAGAAGTAGAAGGCATAGAGATGTACCAACTGGCACAAAATGCTTATCAGCCTTATGGAGACTTGATTCCTGTAGACAGCCAGGAATACTATCAACTCTCCTATGAGGAAAGCCAATGGGAGAATGGCAGAGTATGTGTTGAACTAAGCATTATAGACTTTTGTTTTACACACTATTGGATGATGTATGTTTTTTTGTTTTTTACAATGTTACAATTCACTTAGCAAAAGTGACATACATCAGAGAGTAAGTACAACACTAATCCATTCATACAACGGCACCAAAGCAGCGGTAGCAATGCAGGGTTAAGTGCCTTGCCCAAGGACACATTGGACAGGTTGCTCAGCTGGAGATTGAACCCTCAGCCTTCTGGTTGAGAGGTGACGGCTCTACCAATTGAGCCACAGCTGTCACATTTTTAAAGTACCTTATTTTGTCCAACAGCAACCAGAAGTAGAAGGCATTGAGCTGTACCAACTGGCACAAAATGCTTATCAGCCTCACGGAGACATGATTCCTGTGGACAGCCAGGAATACTATCAACTCTCCTATGAGGAAAGCCAATGGGAGAATGGCAGAGTATGTGTTGAATTAAGCGTTATATACTTTTGTTTTACACACTATTGGATGATGTATGTTTTTTCATTTTTAAAGTACTATTCATACAAGTCCTGTACAAGCGTACAATATGTAGTTTTTTCACCCAATCAAACAATAAACCAGAGTTTGGATGAAGTGAATTAACAGGTAATGTGTACTTGATAGTTACGTTCATGGGTGTTTTTATGTTTCTAGATGGATCTCCATCTACCTTATATGCTCCAACAGCAACTAGAAGCAAAAGGCATAGAGATGTACCAACTGGCACAAAATGCTTATCAGCCTCACGGAGATATGATTCCTGTGGACAGCCAGGAATACTATGAACTCTCCTATGAGGAAAGCCAATGGGAGAATGGCAGAGTATGTGTTGAATTAAGCATTATATACTTTTGTTATACACACTATTGGATGATGTATGTTTTTTCGTTTTTAAAGTACTATACATACAAGTCCTGTACAAGCGTACAATATGTAGTTTTTTCAACCTATCAAGCAAATGAACAAGAGTTTGGATGAAGTGAATTAACAGGTAATGTGTACTTGATAGTTACGTTCATGGGTGTTTTAATGTTTCTAGATGGATCTCCATCTACCTTATTTGGTCCAACAGCAACCAGAAGTAGAAGGCATTGAGATGTACCAACTGGCACAAAATGCTTATCAGCCTCACGGAGACATGATTCCTGTGGACAGCCAGGAATACTATCAACTCTCCTATGAGGAAAGCCAATGGGAGAATGGCAGAGTATGTGTTGAATTAAGCATTATATACTTTTGTTTTACACACTATTGGATGATGTATGTTTTTTCGTTTTTAAAGTACTATTCATACAAGTCCTGTACAAGCGTACAATATGTAGTTTTTTTACCCAATCAAACAATAAACCAGAGTTTGGATGAAGTGAATTAACAGGTAATGTGTACTTGATAGATACGTTCATGGGTGTTTTTATGTTTCAAGATGGATCTCCATCTACCTTATAATCTCCAACAGCAACTAGAAGCAGAGGGAAAAGAGGAAATAACAACAGTTAAAAGTGGACCAGCCACCACAACCAGCGCTGCCAACCTGTCCAATAATTCCTCCTGTCTCATCACATATTAATAAAACATTAATTAAATATACATAAATATATATATATGTTAATCTAATTATTTACATTTTTGACAAAACAATTATATGTGTTTGTAATTTGAAAGCAAAGAATAGTTTTTTGTAAGTACAGCGTATTTCTACCAGAATTTAAAGGCATATTTGTGAATGACAGTTTCTATTTCAGTCATTTCAGCTCTTAAAAAGTTAACTTAAACATCTTCAAGGTTAAATACATTCAACAACATTTCTTTACTGGTTTTTAGGATCAGGGTTAGACCATGCAGAAACCATTTAGTCAGAAAACACAACCTCTGCATGTAGACTTTTCTGTCTTGGGAGATATGATATTTTGTGTGAAAACTTAGCCTAAAATTGCTTTTCTGTGTCTCTCTTTCGCTAGCAGTTATAAAATACTACACCTAGAAAGTTAACCAACTTCAAGCTGCATTCCTGCTCTTTCACTGCAGGTTTTAGCCTCTGGGGACTAGTGCAAAATAGAAAATTTGGAAAAACCATCAGCTTGTGGTCATTGTGTGCAGAGACATGCAACGCCTCTGGGTTCCAAGTGTAATTTTAAAATATTTTTAAATAGAACTTCTTCTTTTATTCATTCATATACACAAATTGCACGAACAGTGTCATTACAGTAAATGAAAACATAAACTGCCTGTTTATTTCAAGTAAAGATACCGCATAATGGTGTGGACCATATTCCAAATTGTGCTCTATCAGCACATGATTTAAAAAAAAAAAAATCTTACATTGAGAATGAGGAAGAGGGCTTTAGCGATTGGAAGCAAAATCATATTAAAGGTGAATCATGTGTCTGAGAAAGAAAGAAAAAGCGGGAGAAACATCCATCCCCTTTTCCCGTTCGGGGTCACGGGGTGCTGAAGCAAATCCCAGCTATCATTGGGCAAGAGGCAGGGTACACCCCTCAACCACAGGGCTGACACATAGAGACAAACAACCAGCCACACTCACATTCAACCAGGAACCTCCTAGCCGTGAGGCAACAGCACTACCCACTGCACCACCGTGCAGCCAGAGGGAAGACTTATAAAAACAAAGAGAAACCAATGATCAACTAAATGGCAGGCAGCACACACCAAATATTTGCTGGGTCCTCATCCAGCCTAATATCTCTTTGCTCCTGCAGTTAGACGAGTGTTGACTGAGGCCTGCAGTACAATAGCACAACTGCACACAGCAATCAATAACAGAATCTCATGAAAAAAACACAGAAAAAGGGACGAGTAGTTTAAACTCGACAAGGTGCATCCAATTTGAAGTGGGAGCGTAAATCATGACGTTTTGGGCCATGAAATTAAATGAAAGCTCAAATTGAATATGGATGAGGTGTTAATAAGCAGAGGAGCCCCATTCATCTGCTGAGGAAAAAAAACATATTAATTGGCTAAAAAAAGAGCTATAAAAGGGACCCAAGGGAGTGCATTTAAAGGTCATAGGAAGGAACAAATGGAGGTCACACAAACATAATAATGTTTTTAACATATTCTTGCACGCACATGCAAATAGTGATGGCAGTGTCTGTGACCTTTAGAGCCCATCTCTCATCAAACTCAGCAAAGGGGAGGGTGGGAGGAGAGAATGGGAGGTCTAATTTGAGGACATGAGAGGAAACAAGGAAGTTCAGAGGGGACCTTTATGTGTATGTAATTGGTCTATGGAGGAATAACCAACATGAACACCACAGGTGGCCAAAGGCCCTGTCTAAATGGCTAACCTTATAAAAGGTTAGCCATTTAGAAGTCCTCTGAGACATGCAGTGAAAGTGTGTATTTGTGTGTGAGAGCGCAAGTGTATATGTATGCGTGCATTCATACACAGTATATCTTTTATTTTAAACAGAAAGGTTCGAAGGTTTCTATGTTAGTAATGTGATCGTCAATGAGTAACACTTCTAACTCTTCACTCACTCAATGACTCATAAAACACTCTTACTTTCTTATTCCAATGCCAGGAACATGATTATGTGGCTACAACCAGAAGAGGAATACATTTTCCAATATAGATGGTTAGAAGAAAATGTCTCCTCCTGACAGTCTACAAAGCTGTCACTAATCACATTCTGTTACTTCTGTTCCTCACAGAAGGGATTTTACACCATAAACAGAAACTGTTGAAAGTCGCATGCAATTAGAGGTATTAGTGGAAGATGCAAATAAACATAATTTTAAATCTGAATATTATAAAAAGAAAGTCAATATGGGTGACTATAAGTGAGAATGTCAATGTCGTTGGAAAAACAAGAACAACAACAGATGAAATTAAGAAAAGGAGGCCAAGAACAAAAGGAAAATGGGCTTATGATAAAACATTGGCATAATATAGGACCTCTTCTCTTCCCTCCATCTTTTTAAGATTGATTATCATACATTACACAGGAGGTGCGAGCTGTGTCCTCTAGAAGTGGGAAAAATAATCGATTTATGTAAGAATCGAGATTCTTCTCTTTTAAGATTTAACATTGATTCATAACTTCCAAAAATCTACTTTTTTATTTTTTTATTTATTTAACTTTTTGGGCTAATCAGTCACTCCCTGCTAAGTGGTAAAGCTAGCTCTTTAACTCAGTAGAATGCCAAATAGAGCAACAAGAAATTCCGCCAGTCTCACAGATGACTGGGGTAGATCCTGAAGTGTGTTCTAATTCATAAATAGACTTTGAATCCAAGGATCAATGAATCTAGAATCGTTTTGAATCGAAATTTGTTTCTGAATTGAATAGTGAGACACCCAAAGATTCCCAACCCTAGTGTCCTCCATGGCACAGCGCTCAGGCATGACACTTTGGCCATTGTCACACACACCAGACTTTCTGACTTACAAGGAAAAAGTCTGATATGTCCTACAAGTCTGGCTACATTGAATGCACCACATACAGATACTGTACGGTGCTTTATTCGCTTACCTTCTTCTGCAGGACATTAACCTTCCTCTCCTTGACATCCAGCATGTCCTTCATGTCTCTGATCTCTCCTGTGAGCGTGCTCTTTTCGTCAGTCAGGTCCTGCAGCTGTTTGGTCTTCTTGGTCAGAAACTGCTCCTTCTCTTCAAGGCGCACACGCAGAGCATCTACCTAAAGAGAACAAGAAGCGGTGTAGATAAGCAGATAACAAGTCAGACAGAACAAGGACTAGTTAAGCATTACAACGACATATAGACTGAGATCGCAAGGGAGCTTTTGTACAAAACATTCTTATGCTCATTGACAGATAGGAAAGACAACCTTAGTGCAAAGGGAGCCAGATTTACTGAAATGCGAAAAGACAGAAAATCAGAAACACTTACATGAAAATACAAAAAGAAATACACAAAAAGGATTGTTAGAGCTCAAACCATGCTCATGTATTTCCCAATTCTCAGTCAGGTGGCCCACATCATATTATTCAACACTGGAACTGACATTTCTTAACACATTCACTTGTTGACATTTGGAAGTAGTAAAAGTTCAGCGTTGTCCTACTGTCCATGACATGAACCACAGTGGACTGCCGCAGTAAAAGTGTGTGTGTGTGTGTGTGTGTGTGTGTGTGTGTGTGTGTGTGTGTGTGTGTGTGTGTGTCTCAGTGTGTGTGTCTCAGTGTGTGTGTGCATGTGTGTGTGTGTGATAGAAGGAGCCTGGAGCCTGTCCCATCAGTTGTTATTGAGAGTGCTGTATGATTGGGTCAGCACTGCCATAGATCACGCTGCTCACACACTTCTCCCTCACATTAAAAATCAATTTCTGTCTCTGGCTGTGAGCAATGAGATGAGTGAGGTCCCAGCTCACTCCAGAACTTATTGGACAAGTAAAAGTGTTCTGCTTCGACGCCTTCAGTCTCACACACACAACACAAACACCTGCACACACAAAACACACACACACACACTCTCTCAGCTGGCTGTCATTATCAGACTATGTGCTCCTATGTTGCTCTTCAACACCTGATTACATTTCCAGCCCTTTTTGCCATGAGTGAACCCATATGAACTATAGTTGGAGGTTTGCGTGTGGGTTTTATGTAATTCAAGAGACAAATACAGACTGTAGATAAAAGGAAGCCAGGAGGGAGGCCTTGTAAACAGTCATTTTAACAAGCGTTACTTGAGGTGACTGTGTGAAAAAACATTCAGACCAGGCTCTGTCGTTCTCGCCTTCTCATCTCCCAACTAATTCACAGGATGCCTCACAAAAAACGGAGAAAGCGGAGGGGAAATTAACTGAGTCCATAAACTTTAGTGCTGTAGCTGAGCTTCATTCTGAGGTGCTTCTACTCAATTTTGTGCTTCTTATTATCTTATTGTTAGATATTATTAGCTTCTTATTATGCTATCATATTTTCAACTCCTTTTTATTTACAGAGGACAGAAGACTTTTTTATTCATAGTAAAAGTATAAAATACAGATCATTAAGCCATGCGTGGCTCTGATATTTTAATTCTTCCTAATTATTAAAGAAAATGTTGAGCATTCTGTGAAAAATGTTTGTTGTTATTCTAGAATAAGAGTGTCAATAGAGGGAGGAAATTTACTTCGTAATTGGTCTATTATATCCATCCATCCATTATCTATACCGCTTTCTCCTGTTCGGGGTCGCGGGGGGCTAGAGCCGATCCCAGCTGCCATTGGGCGAGAGACGGGGTACACCCTGGACTGTTCACCAGTCAATCACAGGGCTGACAAATAGAGACACACAACCAGCCACACTCGCAATTTTAGTGTCACCAATTGACCTAATGCAGGTCTTTGGTCTGTAGGAGGAAGCCAAGAGAGAACCCACGCATGCAAGGGGAACATTCAAACTCCATACAGAGAGGCCCAGTCCGACTGGGATTCAAACCAGGGACCTCCTCGCTGTGAGGTGTCAGCGCTAACAAGTGCACCATCGTGCAGCCCTTGTTTTATGATAATGATCTATAATTCAAAAACAAACTTCAGCTCATGGTAAGTTGACTTCTTCCATCACTTGAGTAAGAGCAACAAGCAACAAGCTAGACAATGACAACAGATTGATAACAGACACTACTGAAAACACAATCGATAGGAATGGATGTGTTGTTTGTTCCACTGTTCAATTAGTGTAAAATGAGAATGCAGAGTGCAAGCCATGGACACACAGAGGAATCCTCTCAAGCAAAGACATTAGAAGCAGGCCAGGACCCCCAGGTGTAAGATGGTGAAGTATTTATCTCATATTGCACCTCTGGCAGAAAACCAGTGTAATACTGAGCCCTGCTCTGTCCTCCACACTCCACACTGGACACACACACACACACACTCAAACTGGTGACACCACTAATCCTCTGAGAGTACTGTATGTTAATACATGCATATCATCCTGATCCATGTGATGTTACGTGAGTGCATGCGCGTGTGTGTTTGCAACTGTTGGTATTAGACATTAAAGGGGGAAAGAGAGACATATACCCCCCCCCCCCTTAACCCCACCTGGCAAGGACCAATTTAGCAAGAATGTAGCAGAGAGGCCTAACAGGAAATCCCTGCTGTCTCACCTACACTGGCCCACTAAGCTGTGATAGTACAGTACAGACGCCCTGCTAATACCCACTTAAAGCACTCAGTGCTGATACACAGAGAACATGCAAAGATGAAAGGGTGAAGGAGCAACAGAGGAAAGCAAGGAGAGAGATAAATACAAGTTGGATACAGGTGTAAGCATTTTTTTACATATTCAGCCACTGCTCCCCCACTAGAAACTACTGCTAAATCATCACATCTGTAACAGGAAATACTGTATGACTTTATCAGCAGGCACACATGCTGAGATGACAGACAGCGAACAAGTCAAGGTGATTAACCTCTTGCTTCTCCTTCAATTTCCTCTCCAATTTTCCCTTCCCTCTAGAGCCGGTCTACTAAAGTCGTCTTCCAGGGACTCCTCTCTCTCACCCTATGACGAATATCTTTCTTTCAACACTCCTTCCTTCCAGCCACGCTCCAAACTCAACAGGAGTTTTCCTATTACCGTTTAAAGGTGTAGGTCCTGCAGTGAGACAAAGTGACATGTCGTTTTGAGTAATCCCTCAGGTCCTACAGCCAGGTTGTCTTTGGGACAGGCCCATATTCCATACTCGGTAGGATAGTGGATTTGTGTTTCCATGTGAGAGCCTTAATATGTAAAACAGGAAGAAAAAAAAAGGCCTATGTTTTTCAGACAAACTCAGGTTTTCATTCTGACTTCATTCTGTTTTGCTATCACAAAGTTTCTTTTGTTCAGAGTTTGAGAAAAAGAGAAATTAAGTGACAGGTGAAGGGAAGAAGTAGAGGGGCCCTCTAACATCCAGTCCAGCCCAGCTCAAATCCAAAGGGGACATTTGAGATTGCACTGAGGAGTTTCTTTGATTAGATGAATTACAAACACATTTTTATCACAAAATCTTCCCCCTAGACTCCACTTAAGCTTTCCAGACTGTCACTCAACACGTATGGTTTTTAAAAATGACCTTGAAATGTTTTCAAGTTTCTGTGGTTGCATAGCTTAAATTCTTTGGAGTTTCGTTAAGCAAATACAGCCACAATGTTTAAAAAAAAAAACAATCTAAAGAGTGCATGCAACAGCTTTTTTCTTGCACACATGTATCTACCTGCTCTTAAACATACAACCATGCATAAAAACACACACACCCATCCTCCTTGATTTCTTCCCACATGCTTGCAATGACAGCCAAATGTGGATTCTGGACACTGGTTAGCAAAGTTAAACAGAGGCTTTAAGAAAACAACTTCTCTGTTTGTCCTCACCTCCCTTTTTCCTGCCTCACATTTCATCATAAAAGTTTTTCTGGCAGGCGAATCCGCAAAGGTATCAGGCCCAGTGTCGGCTCTGGGCCGCAATAAACAACACAGGGACTATAAACGGCCAAACTAGAGATGATTTGGAGACCACAGCAAAGGACAAGGTGCACAAAAATACTTGCATACTCACACACTAACAACTGAACCATCACTCATTAAGTTGGGTCATAGTTTGACCACAAAAAACATTCCTAAACAACTTCTTGCTGGAGCTCTATCTGACCTTCAGATATCAACAGATTTACACACACACCAACATCTTTACTCATTTTCTGTGTTTCTGTTCAAACAAGAACTTCACTTGAATGCATGCATATTGTGTGTGTGTGTGTGTGTGTGTGTGTGTGTGTGTGTGTGTGTGTGTGTTTGTGTACGCAGGTGCAAGGGGAAGTTGTAGTGTCAAACGGAAGAATGAAGTACCTCAGTGCACAAACACACACACAAGATTTCCACTCCATCTGAGCTGGCCATCCCAGACATGACGACACTGGGGCTGATCTGTGCGGAAATTAGGGTTGTTCCCTGACCCGGGTTTTATGTTGGTTGTCATTTGAGGTGTGTGTCATCAAAGGATAAGGCAACAGTCAGAGCTGTGATCAAGAGTCACATCATGGATGGATCACCTTAGGGCTGACTGGGGATAACAAGCAGATGTAAACTGCCTCACAGCAGGGACTGCAAGGTGGAGACGGGGGCACAGTCCCATTGTCGACTCTAACATCTGCGGATGAAACCTCAGCAACACAGCTGTCTGCCCACAGGCTACAGAGGGACCATGGGAAAGCACAGACACAAAAAAAGACAAGGACAAACACAGTCACTCACACAAACTCCCAAGATACACTAACAAAAGGGTCTTTGTCGACAGAATGAATGAATGTTTTCTGCCAAAGCATGAAAGTCAATCATGCCATGCATTTGGTATTGTACCAGAGGATGGATATATGAGACAAAGAGTAGGGGACTCACCCTGAGTACCATCAAACTAACCCTCACTGCGCACAGCTGGCTCAATCCAACTATCGCCCTCCATCCATCATCATTACCTCCTCAGGCAGAGATGGACACACACAAATACAGAAGATACACATACATAAAACACACACGCAGATGTAAAGGAAGAGAAGCTACAGGCGTTCCCCCTCATTAACACTTGCTCCGTCTTTGATTATTTTTCCTGATCATTTCCAGCACCGCACGCCAGTTGCTACATCCTGTTTCCAGGGAATCCATTTCCTGTCAAACCGCAGAGAACAGTCACTATGGCAAACATGTGGTCT